ATTTTATCAAATAATCAGTACTGTTGTTGTGGTTGTGTTATAGTTGTTTTCATGGGCCGATTAAAGTATTGTCCAAAGTTTATTGCTGTTTTCATTTTCTACAACATTGAATTCGATTGCAGCAAAAACTAATCACGTATTGAATCGCATCAATTAATTATTTTCTCAGTTCATTTTTTTACGTTTTCATTGTGGATAACATTTAGGATGAGGATTATTGTTGAATTATTTTTCATTGGTTTGTTTGATTGTATGTGTGTGTGCATGTGTGCGTGCGTACGTGTGTGTGTGTCTGTGTATGTGCAAAGTAGGACTGAACGAATCATTTTACACAATGAAAGAGAATGCATCAAGCCACCTGAACACAAACTGCACTATACACCTGTGCACTATTTCAACAGGTATCATTGTATATTTAAACGAGACTTCGAAAAAAAATAAATGAAGAAGCCTTTCACAACAACCAAAAGGATTAATTTAACATTAATTATAAACATCTGGAATTGATAATGTCAATATGTCTCGGTTGTTAGACACTATCTAATTACATTTTGTATTTGGTGGGGTTAGGAGTTATGCTTCGTATAATTTTTTTTATATTTTTTAATTCTTTGATAAAAGAAAATAATGTAGATGATTTTTTAATTGTATACTTAAGTATCTCATCGAAATATCATCAAAATCATCATCATCATCATCATAGACGCGTCACTTATGGCGTAGGCGAGATATCCGTTTGCTGACTAAAGGACGAGTGTACTGTGCAGTAGTGGTTCGCTCCGTCTTACTTTATGGCTGTGAAACATGGCCAGTGAGAGTAGAAGATATTCGTCAATTATTGGTTTTCGATCATAGGTGTCTTCGAAGCATTGCTCGTATATCCTGGGACACTCGAGTGAGCAATGCTGTTATTAGGAAACGGGCGCTAGGTAAGAATGGCAGATCAATTGACGCAGTAGTGACACTTCATCAGTTGAGGTGGTTGGGGCATGTGTTGCGTATGCCCAACCACCGACTGCCTCGACGAGCTTTGTTTTGTAGTGTAGGAATAGGTTGGAAGAAAGTTAGGGGCGGCCAAACCAAAATGGCAGAAATCCATGAAGTCATTGACGAGTGGACTTAGCCATGTCGGTAATTGTCGACTACCTGGTTGGGGTCTGCGAGATGATAATAATCGATGGTTAGAGAACTTGAATGACATGGCTTAAAATCGTTTGCAATGGCGCCATTGCATTTATTCTTTGTGTTCTCTCAAATCTTAATCTTCTGGATTCAGCATCTCTAGTTTTGTCTTTCTAAACTTATCTCACCGAATCATTGTTCTTGAGTAATATCTTCTAATCCTAACCTCTCCGATTACTTCTGATACCTTTACTACCTCTTCAACTATTGGATTTGAATTGACAATTACTTCTCTGTGCTGATGTGGTATGGCGACATGAACTGATGTACTTACGTACGAAGTTCTACATTGCATCTGACTGACTGACTGACTGACTGACAATAGGAATTTACATGTTATATATATATACCCGATAAAATTCAAACTGTCCAATCAAAATGCAGATCATCGACTCATACACTTAACGCACATTAGCACGTATGACAAATGATAACGATTGGGAATGATTAGATTATTAGAATTTTGTCTCACTGGTTAATTTTTTCTACTGTGAAAAATATGAATTTTAGAATAAGATACGTGTAAATGAAGTTGTAGAGAATTTTCTTTACAGTGTTCAATAATTACAATGTTTGTACATTTGTTGAATGAGTAAAGCAACTAAGAGGATAATCTGTATTTTTTGAATTTCGCAAGTTAAAATATTCCACACTGGTATGATCAGAGAAAAAAAATTAAGTGAATAGCTTACAACTGTTAAAATAAAGTTCTCAGTCGAAATAAGACTCTTCTAGTCAACAATGATCAACTGAAAGAACGGAAAAAAGGCTCAAAAATACTAGATATTATGAAAAGAAACAACCTGATGGAACTTGACATCAACCAAACACATTGGAAGCAGATTGGACAAAAAAAGTTTAGCTTCAAGAGAGATCCTGTCGTACTCCGACCATGAAAAGGAAAATGCCTATCACACAAGAAGTTCCACTAATCCTATTCAAAGAAATCCAAAAAGCTTTATCAGCTTTATCAAAGCATCATTCAAAACAAAGGAAGAGGGAATTGTAATGAATGTCATTCAGTGCTATGCACCCACCAACAATAACAATGAAGGCTGAGAAGACAAATTCTATGGGGGGCTGAAGTTAATCATCGAGAAATGCCCAACAAAGGACTTGACAATTATGATGGGAGACCTTAATGCCAAGATTGGAATGGACAACATCGGATATGAAGACATCATGGGATGACATGGACTGGGAGAACGGAACCAAAATGGTGAGAGATTCGCAAACCCATGCGTCTTCAACCAACTTGGTCATAGACTGAACCACATAGACGTATACACAAAGCGACATGGGTTTCACTAGATCACACTATAGAGAACCGAAATGATCACATCTGCATCAATAAAAAGTTCAGAAAGACCATAGAGTATGTAAGTACAAAGAGAGGAGTTGACATAGCTTCAGATCGTCACTTGGTTGTAGCTACAAATGAAACTAAAACTCAAGAAGCACATCACAACTAGGCGAACAGCTTGACATTTTTAAATCTCATATTTATTTCTCTCAATTTATTACTCTTTCAAATTTAAATCTAATCTAATCATTTAATTTCATCTAATCAATTTCGAGTTGGAAATTTAAAGTAAAACTTGGCGGGTTTTCATTTTTAAATGGACAATATTATTTTAAATCAATTTGTTGAATGTGTGACCTCTTCGATATATATATATATATATATATATATATATATATATATATATATGCATTTGTTTCATTTTATTGGTTCACTATTCATCAAACAAGGCGCCAATCATTGTGACTTTTATCATTCACATAAATCAACGAACAATACAATATATTGAATATTGAATATCTTTTATTTTTCTACCAAAAAAAAGGGATTTTATTTAAAGATTTCAATCAAATATAATGAATGATAAGCAGTACTATTACTTTTTGTTCTCATGAACAAGA